AAAATGTGAAACCAATAATTCCTGCAAACCAATTCCGATTATGCTGAACTTGCGAGGTGATTGAAGAGTGGGATATCCTGAAAAAGCGTTGCTCCCGTGCGGAGTGGTCTTGCCAAAGGTTGCAGACTTGATGGGAATTGGGTGACTCTCTGTGACCATCAGAATTGAGATCACCGTAGCTCACACTTATAGGGCTTCTATGGGTTTCTAGGTGTTCAAACACAAACTAGGTTTCATGGTGGATTTCCGATCCATTGGAACCAACACAGCACCCACAACACCCACACCCAAAGCACCTTGATGGGGTGGCTTCCCCGCCATCGCTTCGGACAGCAGGGCCTCGGCACAGTGTCCATCGCTTCATTTCTTGCTCCTGATATTTTACTCGCATGGCAAAGGTGTCGTTTGGGAAGACCCTACAAAGAAGATTGCAACTATCTTTCAATGCATGTGTTATGCTGAATAAGTTCAATGTTGCAAGAATCACTAGAGCCCACCAAATCACGCTTTCCTCTCAGATTTTTTTTGGGAGGCTGTGCACAATCACAAAGAATGAGTTCGCAAAGGGTGAATCAGAATTTGCTTTGCATTAGAATCAAAGACTTTTCTAGCAGAGTCTTGTGCAGGGGGAGTCTCTAGGGACAGCTGCACCCTGGTTCTGACTGCCAAGACCCAACACTCTTAGTTTCCTGGGTTTCCTGCAAACTTGTCAAGCAAACGCACCACTCAAATTTGCAAAGGCCGCCGCATTGGCACCTGTCTTGCGGGCTGGTCGTGACAGTACAGAGAAATCGAACTCTCTTACAAAAAGATGCATTTCTTTCACAGGTTCTCACATCTTTCCAGCATGCAGTTTAAAATCTTCAAGGAGTGAGCCCAGCGCAGGCCATACCAGCAAAAATCTGGCAGCGTTGCATGGATCCTGAGACAAGACTCGAGAAATCACAGACGCAGCACGTGGAAACATCATCCAGCATGTCATCCCCCGATGTCCTAACAGAGCTATCAGCTACAGTGCACTTCGAAGCAAAGGTCTGTTAAGAAACTGTTGAAGGGACTAGTACTCTGACATCATCATAGTGCCTTTTGGATACCCTGCTGGCATACATATAAACATCATGTCATATATATATAATTACATATATATATATATACACATTACTGTATATACTAGCATGTCATTTTCATAGCACATCTATAACAGCAGCATGACCAATTATGATCCTTTAGTGCATCCCAATCAGTCAACACGGAGTTCAGCACAGACCCTCATGAAAACGACCAACATGGACAGTCAATCGTCTGAGAACTGGCACCTGTCGTCTCCAGTCAACAAGGTGATGACATCTTTCCTGCGCAAGGTTCGACTTTTTAACGAAAAGAAGCCAGCTGGGAACAAGCGAGGGTTCTCCTGTAGCATCAGTTGTGTCCCAACCACGGGACACTCCGAAATCACTAGTCTCCCTGCTGCCATTCGCAGAATGATTTGGGTTGGGCAAATTATCTGAAACCATACCCAGTTGTGAACATGATCTCCGATGTCTCCTGTGCGTGTAGAGAAACAGCAGCAGGACGATTGTCAGAATGCAGACCTTGTCACTATCTGAGAATGTGGTCTGGGATATCAAACACCGCCGCTGACGGCTGACTTTGCAAGAGTCAGGATCGCTTCATGATCGAGTTGAATATGCTCTCCTATTGTTTATCCGCTGTTACAGCTTTGATCAGCTTTGTCAGTTGGGCGCAAGCACCATCTGCAGGACATGCACACCGGGTTAAAATATGTTTAAAATGTTCAATAGTTGAAGCACCAGTGCACTTGTAACGCCATACAGATGTAACACCTGGGCAACTTGTTGGGAATCTGGATTTTGCCTTAACCATCCAGAAGCTGAGCTCTCAACTAGAATTTCCTGGACCGTTTTGGTCGGTCTGAATTCTTGTACCATCGATAAGTCGTTTACCGATAGCCTCGGCGCCGCTGAAGCCGGGGGGCGAGTCAATGGACCAAGGGATGTTCATATTCCACAGTGCAGCGCCTTGTAGCAAATGCCAATGATTTTTACATGTTCTGCATAAAACCATTTAGATCGAAGTAAAAATAATAGTAATAGTAAAGCATAGGAATATGAAGCAGAGATTTTGGAAAGTCCAGATGGTGATATCCAAACACCTGCACTTCGCCCATCTTGTCCTCCCCACACACTGTGGCCAGCTGAGACAGCAACAAGCGTCGACTGCCTTGCTCTGCTTTGCACAATGGGAAGTGCAACATCTCACCCAGCGTCAAACCTTCCTGCCGTTGTCGAGCCAGTGCCGATTGCAGAATATCACTGGACAATCGCTCTACGATCTCCAAGTACTTGCGCCTCCAGGAGCCTGATACGCCCAAATGGTGCATATAAACAACCCTCCATTTTTGGAACTGCAAGTTGTCTTGGCTTTAAGATTGTGAAAGCACACTTGGTGCAACTCAGCAAAGCCCCAATCAATGCCTGCTCCGCCACAGGAACCTGGAATCAAGCACAGCATCGATCTCTGGCTTAGAGTCAACTAAAAGATTAAATTGCCAAGAAGCAGCCAAGGTCTTAGGTCTGACCCCAACCAGGAAAAAAGAAACTACACAACGTTTTATTCTCGTGGCCCAAAGCTGCTTGCGTTCGGTGAGCATCTGACAAATTCCTAGCGTCTGACATCCCAAAACCATCAAAAATCCCCATTGACATCAAGCTTGCCGGCTTCACGACTGGAGCTGGACTGGGCGCTGTAGGTGCAAACCCAAAGGGTGCTGGTGCTGGTGCTGCTGGTGCAGGTGCAGGTGCGGCTGGCGCCGCGGCCGTTGGAGCTGGTGCTGGTGCAGCCTGTGCTGTTTGTGGTGCCGGTGCTGCAGATCCCTGTGCCGCTGGAGCAGGTGTTGCTGACACTGGTGATGCTGCAGGAGCAGGCGCGGCTGGTGCAGGTGTTTTGGGCTGCGTGGTCGTTGCCTCTACTGGGACCAAAGCTTTTTGCCTTGGAAACACTTCGTCTCAAAGCTGGCAATGAAGCGATCGCAAACACACAAGCAGAAGCATCAATGGCCCACCATGCCTATTTGTTGGGAAGTAGGAAATGGGTTTCTGTTGCTATCATCGATCTGAGTGAAAACTAAGATGCCGTACAGCCAATCAGGAAGCTGGAAACCATTTGAAGGTTTCCTGCTGGCAAAAGTTGGAATCCATCAACAGGCCAAGTACAATCACACCTGCAACACAACGTCACTTTAGACTTGAATATCATGGATTTGATTCAAGTAAAACCAAAGAGATGTTACGGCAGTCCCTGAAGTCGTTGCCGCACCCCTAAGTTGTTGGCAGCTCACGGAAAATCAATCAAGTCGAATAAAACCATCTTGAGCCCAAGATCCAGGCTGTTTGAAGCCGCCATTTGCAATCCATGCAGCATCTGCGTCAGAAAACCTTGATGTGACCATAACCCGACTCTGCAGCACCAGCTCTACCGTTGAGGTAGATGAATTCGGGTGGCCCAGACCCTGGAAAAGCTTGTGCATCTCCGAATCTCCAAAGCTGGCAAGCCAAAACCTTGGCAGAGTCATTGGAGTCATTGGCCAGCAACCGAGACCATCTACTTCTGTTTGAGGGCGAGGCTAGGGAAATGAGTCTGTAGAAAGATGAACCTTAGCAGCCAGCAGAACTGCTCTACATGTGTTGACTGTAGAGGATGCAACCTTCTCTCTCACTGGATCAAAACCGTGTTCTGGTGCTGAAGCTACTTCATCATATCTGGTCAAATTGCTCAACCTGCCATTTGTGACCCGGTACTCGCATTCACTACATAATGGCTGTACGTTCGCAAGTTCAACCTGAGTACACTTATTTCAGGACTCTTTCCAGACAAACATATTTCGACCTTACAAAACAACAAGAAGGTAGTTGAAATGTATGAGAATCAACACATATATATCATATAACTATAGACTATACTGAATACTGAGTACTGTCTAAAGTCAAAAGTGTTGGCCCAGAAGGCTTCTATTGCTTGATCCTGGCATCTCTGGGCTTGGAGCTTTCCGGCATCCTGCTAACTGCACCTACAAAACCGCTGGAGAAATCTCAAGGCATCTCAAGGCGCTAATAGGATTTCAGAAGAAACATCCAGAACCAAACCACCACCACTTCACAGCAGGCCTCTCTTCGGAGGACTAAAACGCAGCTACGCGATGGCGTGGCTCCTCAGAGCGCCCCGATGAGACATGCTTTTGCCACAGAATGTTCGTCAGCGCTGAGACCAAGACCCTGGGCAATGGATTGGCACCCACACCAGAGTCACCAGAGCCAAGAATCAAAGGGCGACAGGGTTCGGGTTGATGGCTGAAGACATTGTCACAAACTGAATGCAAAACCGCGAAGAAGCCTCATTGATATGAACCTGTGACATGTAGCAGAATCGCTGTCGGTTCCATGTTTACTCTCCTTCTGTCAGTCAGTCCCCATTGCCATCGCAACCATGTTGCTTGCATCACAGCGCCAAGCTCTTTTGAAACCACTGCTGAATACCATTCCAGAGCCAAGGAAGCTATGTTTGCTCAAAAACAAATGATTCGCCTGCACCGGACTTGATGACACGTACACGGACAAGGCTGAGGACTCCTTTTACAACTACTGTGTTTATGGCTTTATGGACACTCAAGTTCTTTAGTCTTTGAATGATCTGCCCTGAGACCTCAAGTGCTCTGGCTGTTGATCTTCAACTGAACTTCAACCAAATTTCTTCTCCTCAGGTCCTCTTGACTGTCTTGTGATATCTTGTGGAATCCCAGCAACTGGGGCCCTCGGCCTGATCTGCTGGGTCAGTCCAGCTCCATCTAACATCGGCATCAATACGGCGTCATGGGAACCAGTCGTCAATGGCAAGCGCAACATTGGAAGAGATACTTTGATGAGATTTGATGAGATTTACAGTAATGAAATTCAAAGTGATTTGAGGTTTTTGAGACTTGATGAGGGAAAATTCATTGAACCCCGCGATTCTGATCCCAAACCCGTCGCACGCGTGCTCCGCTCACTCAGCTTCCATCACGTTCAGGAAGTCTGAGAACTCATCGCTTCTCTGGGTCCTTAAGGATATTGGGCAGCTGGACCGTTTCATTCCCCGAAAACCTGCTGTAGTCAAACCTGCTGAGAAACTCGAAAGTGAAACAATAATCTCCGTCCATATATATAATACGAGGCCGGCCTTCAATATCACAGTGTACACCGGGGCAATCCAGCAAAGCACTAGTCTTGGGCTCAGACGTCCACTTCTCCTCACACTCATTGCGGAACTTAGCCTCAGCATTTTCAAGCGCATGAAACTCTCTGATTTCACTGCCGATGCTCGCTGGATGCATGTTGTGGATTCTGATGCATGGGAATCTGATTGAAGCACCTAAACTGCGACACCAAGAAACAAGCATGTAGCCGGGCATTTCCATGGGAATCTCACCCTTCTCCTTCTTCCTCATGATCTCGTGCCACCAAGGCCACATGATGTTGGGATTCCTTGGTTAATCATCAATCTCTGGAACGTGCCAGGTCTCTTTGCTCAAGTCCAAATTCACTCACGATAGTGACTTGCGATAGTGCAGCCGAGGATCTTTGAACGGTCCACACCGTACCTTGGCGAACATATATCAATGCCGGATTCAATGGGAATTATCTGGTAAAAACGCGAAAAACTATGCAAGTCTCCATTATATAATATACTTAATCTGCACACTGTACATCAGTCATCATCAGTCTATAGTTCCGTTGTTCATCGTTGTTCCGTCCCGGTGGGAATTTTCCCATGAGTCCAGCAATGTCCAGCACTTCACGAATGATCACCAGGTTGATAGAAGAATTGCTGGTGATTTGTTTGGCTCTCTATGTAAACATCATAACCATCAGTATGTCACAAAATGGGCGCGCCCAAAGCCATGGCCTTTGAAATGGAGTGGGAAATCGAGGTCCAAATCACAGCTAGACCCCGGAGTTTCCTCTCCAAAGGCCCAGGGACACTGGAGACTGGAGACAAACGTGGAAACCAGACATGCACCAGAGTGGGAAACACCAAGAGACGTGGAAGCTTTGAATGTGGCTTGTCCCGAAAATGGAGTACCCTCAATTTCAAGGATTATCATGATTCATATTTTTTCGATGCAAATTGCCATTTGCAGTATAGCCGTAGCCCATCAAAAAAACATCTCAGAAGTACCAGTACCATATAGCTGAGGTCGCGGCTGCTGATCTGCCATGAAACCAGCGAGGTTGACAGAAGCCATAAAGCCCCAGTAGTAACGCGTGAACCTGCAGAAAAACATTGAAAAACCAAGGATCAGTGGCAATCCTGTGGAGTCACATGGTTTGCATAGTTGCCCTTTGCCAAGTTTGGCAAACTTCTATTGAATATGGGGGGGCCGACCCAATCAATACGAACTTGGTACTTTGGAGATCTCTGGAGTACTGACTAAGCTTCCGGATTCAGCTACCAGTGGCAGCCAAGCTGAGTGCTATCACCAGTTGGGATGGAAATAGCGACAAGCACCACCCATTGAGCCGAACCTCAGTGCAAATTGCAATGTGGTCGGCTCAAGCTCCAGCTGTTTCAAGGATCCGACAGTCAGATTGGCTTCGGCTTCAAAGGAACCCGCAACACTCCCCTCTTGGTCCACTGATGTCAGGGATGAGGAAGAAGAAAGATTTGCGAAAGAATCCTTTACTCCGCAAGCTGGTTGAGACTTCTTGTTCCCCACTCCCCACTACACAGGCCAAATTTGCATGGATATCACAGCTCAGCGCTTTGTGCTGGTTTTTTTGATCAGCTGACAGTCGTGTTGAGACTCTGCTAACAACCCAGCAGGCTGGGCTCACTCAGGAGGAGTGAGATGGTTCCTTCCGGTCCACCCGGGTCAAAGACGCGTGAGCACAATCATGCCACATGCAAAAGAGCGAATCGTACAAGCGAGCAGGGAGAACGACGCATTGAAAAGCTCTTCCCAGGTCAAGCCTGGGTCCAATCTGAAAATCAAGCATTGGACTGTGGCAAATTCGAGGCACCAACATTCACTCAGCGTGCTGATGATCTCCACTTCCATGGCGCAAGGGTCCTTGATCACGCATGACGCGCAAAGGAGTCCAAGGGACTGGATCTCTGACATCTACCGATCTTTTATTATTGAATAGGTGCCACCATGCCCCTTTCACCGTCTATTGCTGGTGGTTAAAAAAGAAACATCTCCCAGCCCTGGCAGAGGTCTCCTCCACCACTTCCAAGTCGAATGTGGGGCATTCGTAACCTCGGCCACTCAGGGACCTTCCTAGCATCTCCACATGTCTCCACTGATTTAGGACTGGGATCCATGCCCCAGTTCCCAAGGAAGTCGACTACAGCCATCCCATTGCCGTGGAGGGAGAACACCACACCTAGATGTGGCTTTCGAACTCTTGGTGCCGCTGGCACACATACGAACACCACCAGCAAAGGTGGCCTATTTCATTTTTTCTCCGGCCGGTAGAAGGCCTCAAGGGACGGCAAAAGCAGTTTGATCTCAAACGAAGTGATTAATCATCCTGAATTTGCGAAGTGATCCCAAGGTGACCCCGCCTCAAACGGACCGCCACACCAGGGCGGATACGGTCCAATTCCTGAGCTATGAGCAACTTCACTTCATCATACTCCATCTACATCATCTATATACCACATGTCATGATGCAAGGCTTTCTGCAAGAAGTGAAAAGCATGACTTCTGTCTCTGACATCTCTAACTCGACATTCGTCGTCGTCGTCGTCGTCGTCGTCGTCGTCCTGCTTCTTCTTCTTCTTCTTCTTCCTCCTCTACAGTCATCAGCATGCAGCATACTACCACACTGACTGTCCAAACGAGCCCCTCTGGCCTGATCCAGTTGAAGCTGTTCCATCGCCTGGCCTTCAGTGTAGTTCACATCTCGAAACCCTGTGGCCACTGTTGCCGTTGCCTCAGGATCTCAATTGTCAAATCTTCTGGCCCCATGTCCGACACACACTGGTAACCACCGGCAACCAATGGTAACGAATGGTAACCACTGGTAACCATAGCAATCCAGGCTGCATCAGGAAAGCGCACAGAGATGGAATTCATTTCTGCCGCAAGATCCTGCAATAGATCTGTTGGCAAACAAAGGCACAGTGTCGGTACAACGTAACAGTGTGTCACATTGCATGTTCCAAAATTCTGTATCTCCAAATCCGGAAATATGGCAGGCAATCTCGGGAGCATATGGTATCATCTGGGTAGCCTGTTGATTTTGACACGCAACATCAAACATATCAAACATATCAAACCCCACAGTCCAGTTCTACCAGAGTTTCCCTGAGCGCACCTCGCAGACTTGCATCACGATTCCAAGGGTTCCAGCAGCTGGTCCTTGGCCAATCTTGGCCATGCCCAATTTCTGTGCAAAAACTATGTCTGCCGTTTTCTGTTTCTGTTTCTGCTTTTGATCACCTGCAGTTCTGAATCTCCGCAGTTTCATCACTGGGAATTGACTCTTTGCAGCTTTGCAGCCATCCTCTACTCCTGCAAAGCTGTCGTGCTCACATGCTCGCCTGATGGCTCTCATTTGGGACTGTTGCCAACGAGACCAGTGCAGCTGTGCAACCTTACTGGTGCCCTCCTCTCTCCCTCTCTTGGCGAAACAATATCGGGCAGGGGCTGGGCAATACTGCAGCTAGGCAGCACGACATCACCCACACTGAAGGGGCTGCCTAACGGCAGGGTCAATGCTGGCATATTCTTTACCGGGATGCCAAAAGGAGTTGAGTAGAAGGAATTCAATATCAACTTGAGCCAGCCTAGAAAGCCTCTTTGCAGCTACCAGTATGGTTGACCATGCTGACCCTTCTAGATACCGTCGCTGGTCCAGCCGGGGCCTCCATCTCCTCGTGGTTTCAGCACGGCCAATGGCATACGACAACTTTTGCCATCGGCTCGCAGCACACTCACGTGAAGGTCAGCATCAACATCGGCACCTGAGTTCACATGGGCAAATGCTACTGAGCAGTACCGGACGCTGGTTCACGAAGGCAAGAATCACCAAGCATCCAGGCAAGCCAAAATCAAAGGTAAACCTTTGCAAAGGGTGCCCATTCGGAAGGCCCATTCGATTCAAATGCCAAGTCACGCTGCCCTTTGATTGCGTCCAAGGGAGTAGCAGATCCCACCGAAACAACGCCCTCCAGCAGGTGTCCTGGCGTGGTGCTTGTGGGTCCGCCCATGTCAACAAGCTGGGCAAGGAAACCCTTGGCACAACGCCAATGAAGTTGCATCACTTCAACCGTCCTTTTGCCCTTTTTCGCTGTGAATTGTGAAATCAATAGCACTCATCGAAGAGGTGAAGGAACACAAGATGTCATGGCCAAGCAACGACCCGCTTATCTCCACAGGATCCTGGGACTTTACGAGATGCCTGTCTTTCCTCCGAGGCCTTGATGAATTTTCTGACTCGCTTGCGGGCACAGAAATTCAGATGCTCTAAAGAAAACAACTCAGGGCGGAGAGCTATCCTCTTCCAAACCATTCAGTGTCAGAAAGAAGACAGCAAAATGGAAGCATCTCCCCCGGAAGTCCTCCATGTGGGTAAAAGACTTTGGAGCCAGGACGTGCCAAAAGACCCAAACGTGCTCGTCGAACCTCCTCTTTGGGCACGACCCAATGACGATCATGGCCTGTGTTGATTCCGGTCGATGTTCAACAGACACCATTCACTGCTGGGACGAGGGGACTGAGTACTGGAACGGACAAAGTGCACTCAACTCTGATTGAACAGTTTGCAATGTCTGCAAGCCCTGCGGGTAGACAGCACGACAGGCGGCAAAAAGGCTATCAAGGCCTTGATCTTGCAAAATCTGCACCATATCTGTCTCCACTGCAGCAGCAACTCCCAGCACATTGGAGCCACAAACCAGTCGGCCGGGGAGCACTGCAGAGCCTCAGTTCATCGCAGTCCTGAGGGACCCGAGGGATTGGCTACTTCTAAAGGTTCTAAGTATCTGTTTTCGGGGATTCACCCAAATGGCCAAATGGGGGTGTCCGAAAAGCTGGTAATTGGGATGTCACCCAATCCAAATTAAAATATGTATTGGAAATTATATTATAAATTATAATTATAATCCATATATATATATATATGTGTATTTATATATATATATATCAATATGATGTATCCGATGATTTGCGGGTCCATTTTGGGAACCTCCGCCGCGTGACGCAGGCGCTCCAGCAGCTCGCTGCTCCGTTGTGCCTGGCTGCGCAGCTCTTCCAGCTCCGCCGCCTGACGCCCGGCGCGTTGCCAGAGGCGACCCACCTCCTGCACCACCAGAGGCACCGTGGATGATTCAACCACAAGACATGGGGGAAAAAATTGCAAAAACGGGATGGAACCCATATGAATATCATATGAACCCTATTGAACCAAGCAAAAAAAGGCCGATGGGTTCACCTGAAATTGGAATTTAAGATGATTCAAGAATGGTGATTTAGCCCAACAAAAACGCGGATTGGAGCAATCACAACTGGGAGGCTAATCCTCTGGAATGGGAATGTAACTCTCAAAAATTAGGGGGTAGCCAACAAAAAAAGGAAGATTCAACCTACCAAAAGTATCGGTGTCACCGATAAGTATCGGTTTCACCGACAAAACTTTGGATTTGGTGACTGGCCAATACATATGGACCGGGATGAACATCCACAACCACATGCTATTTTGTTGTGAACAGCAGGGCTCCTGGGTTTTGATCCGTATCCACTTGTCATGGCCACGCAAATTGTAAAATCAAACCAAAACCAATTGTGGGCATTGTGAAAAAAAAAAACGTAGCTTGGCACAAGGCCAAGTTGAAGTGAGTTTGCCCGGCACTGCAGTCCTCCGCCAATGTGCCATAGAAGCCATCCTTCTTCATGTCGGGCACCGTCGCACCGTCTTGGTTGCTCCGGAGCAATCGAAGCAGCCATTCCTGTTGTCACGCGCTCGCACTCACCGAAGAGGTTTCAGGTCTTCAACACAAATAACTCAGCCATGACTAATTAATTGGTGGTTTCAACCCCCCTGAAAAATATTAGTCAGATTGGATCATCATCCCAACTATTGGGGAAAATAAAAAATGTTCCAAACCACCAACCAGATTAGGATTATAGGGTTGTTTGATGTTGTTTGTCGATGCTCTCTGATCTGCAATCCCCCAAGCACTGAACGCTTTCCCAGCGCTTCGATGTGCCTGCTCCTCCCGAAAACTCTGCAGCTTGCTCTGCATATCCCGCCAAAGTGCAGGATCCACAGTGCAGTAAGCCTCTCCCAGTCTCCCAGGCCAGTGCAAACGTGGGCCAATTTCCCTGTGCGCTAGAGGGCAAAAACCAGTATAATGTTCTAGATACACGGTTCCTTCAATTGCCTGGATCGAATCATGTTTCACATTCTTGAAGCAAACTTGAGAGGGGGGGGACGAAAGGTAGGGGGGGGAAGGCAGGAGGGAGAGGCAAGAGAAGGTGCGACTGTTTGTAACGCAAGCACGCCGACGACGACAACGACGACGACGACGACGACTACTACTACTACTACCACTACTACTACTACTACTACTACTACTACTATGAGGACTACTACTACTACTACTACTACTACTACTACCACGGCTCATACTACTACGACGACGACTACTACTACTACTGCTACTACTACTACTGCTACTACTATTACTATTACTATTACTTCTACTACTACGACTGCTACTGCTACTACTACTACTACTACTACTACTACTACTACTACTACTATTACCACTACCACTACCACTACCACTACCACTACCACTACCACTACCACTACCACTACCACTACCACTACCACTACCACTACCACTACCACTACCACCACTACCACTACCACTACTACCACTACTACTACTACTACTACTACTACTACTACTACTACTACTACTACACTACTACTACTACTACTACTACTACTACTACGCCCAGGCCCGTTACACTTTACATTCAATTGGGAAGATCAACAAGGGTATTAGGGAATATTAAACTCCCACCCCTGTTAAACTTTACATTGAATTGGGAAGATCAACAAGGGTATTAGGGAATATTAAACTCCCACCCCCGTTAAACTTTGCATTCAATTGGGAAGATCAACAAGGGTATTAGGGAATATTAAACTCCCACCCCGGATAAACTTTACATTCAATTGCGAAGATCAACAAGCGGATTCATGACTTCGTGGAAATTGCGTTGAAGAGTTTGCCGATTTCTAACGTTAGATGTATAAGGTAGGCATTTTGGACAAGAATCGGTTGGAAAGAAACTTTTGGAGTTTGAAAAGCTCACCCAAGCAGCTGGAATGTTTGTGTGCTTGTTGTTGGTGAATCGTTATTCTTGTAGGTATACCGTGTTGTCAGCACGCGGACTCGTTGGACGGGCCTCCAGGGAGTCGACTGAGCTA